GGGTGTGTGGGGGGGTGGGAGGTCAATGCATTGTTGCAATAAGTGATTTTCCTCTTGAGGCTCTGGTGGTCGGAGAGTGACAGCAGGGTAAGTGATTGTTTTGAGCTGTTCCTCTTTCACAGAAATAGATGTCAGCCTGTGCTCTCTCTCTCTCTACCTCTCTCTACCTCTCTCTCTCCCCTACCTGCCGCCCCCCCCCTCCCCCCTCATCATTAGTGTCTTCACATTGCATCAGGTCACGGTTTTCTCCAAGTGCAACTGTCAGGTTTAAAGGTATCGCGGCAGTGAGCTGCTGATGGGGATCAGCCGGAGATGGTTGATCAGCTCAGCACGAGGCCCAACGAAAAAACAGAGAGAGAGAGAGGGAGACAGAGAGACAGACAGACAGAGAGAGAGAGGGAGACAGAGAGAGAGGAATAGATTTGACTTGAAATAGTGTCTAAATGACCCCTCATTCAGCGCCGTCATCTGCCTGTGTTTCAGGACTGAAGAATAAACACACACACACACACACACACACACACACACCCCTGTCTCTGTGGCTCTGCCGCGGCTTTATCCCTTTTTTGTGTCTCCCTCCCTGGGAAGCATCCTGCTGACACTCTCTAAGGTGTCTTATTGATATTCTTGGAGGGGCATTGCAGTCAGAGAGAGAGAGAGAGGGAGAGGGAGAGAGAGAGAGAGAGAGAGAGATGGAATGAAAGGGGTGAATGAAAGTCACCCAGATGCAGAGGGCCTTCTTGTTGCAGCAATTGTAAAAATCACAAGTCACCCAGCAGGGATATGTCAACGCTCATATTTTCCTGCAGCAGTAATGGCATTTCTCCTGCCTTGGATTTTTTTTATTTTTTTTATTTTTTATTTTTATTACTCTCCTGCATGTAGATAGGCAATTTACCAATCACACACAGACCCAGTGCAGCCGCGGGCCGACCTCTGAGTGTAATAACATCACAGCGACATCAATCTCCTATTGTGTTGTAAATGGGACATTTTTGCTTAAATATAAATATAATTATGTCGGGGCGTTTCCTCGGTGACAGCCACCTATTAGACGACATTTAGCCCGGTGACGGGGAGATCTGTCACAGACTGTTTTTATGCTAATGTCGCTCGTCGTCTGCGGACGTTGGTGCGTGTCTGGAGTTTCTGCCGACTTCTCCAGTTCCAGTTCTGACAAAATCTGTGATGTCACGCGGAGTAGCTCCACCCACATTACCACGCCCAGCGGTGTGAAGCCCCGCCCCCTTTTGCTTCACTGTCGTGTGCAGTCTAAAGGTGAATCAAAAGTTCTGACACATTAACACCTGAGACACAAACTGGGTCGTCGTCGATGACCACAGTTTTTAGAGAGAACGCCTTTGTTGACAAAGTTTGCGATGCACCAAACCAATATTTAAATCCTCGCTTCTCTGGAGATTTTGATTTTATTCATGTTTTGACCTCAATTGCGATTTTATGGTCTTTTTTTTTTTTAAATCGAATGCGACGTCATTGCAGTGAATTACGGCTCCCTCTAGAGGTAAAACAGACGATTCCCATGCACAATCTTGGCGACGCGTACAGTATGAATGGGCAGCAGGTCTGATTGATGGTCAGGGATGTACGGCAGAATTTTTCGTACAGTATGAATGGGCAGCAGGTCTGACTGATGGTCAGGGATGTACGGCAGAACCGGATTCCTCAGGGTTTTTATTATTATTTTACCTCTGAGTCGTTCAGTAGTTTGTTTAAAAAAAGTCCAGTCATCGAATAAACACAGGGACGATAACAGTCAGTGTGTACCTTTTCAGATCTCTTGGGTTGTTGGATGAAGTCATGATGATGATGATGATGAAGATGAAGATGACTGGATGTTTTGAAGCTGATTCCTCTGTGCCAGTAACGGTCGGTCGGGCAGGCTAACGTGGAGACGGTCGTCGTCCGTATAAGAGAGAGAGAGAGAAAAAAACGTAGTTAAAGTAGATGTAGTAAGAGAGAGAGAGAGAAAAAAACGTAGATAAAGTAAATGTAGATGTAAATGTAAATGTACGGCGTTTCTTCACAGGAAACAAAACAGACGAGAGCGACCGCTGCAGAGTCTCACTTTAGAAATAACCTCCAGATAAATGTTGAGCAAATCTGGACTTTTGGTCTTTATGTTGTGAAAAATAACGAGAAACTGAGAGCAGACGTGATGTCAGTACTACAACAAGTACTTGTAGTAGTAGTAGTAGTATGTCATGTACATGCTAGTTTTAGATTTCTCCCACACAATGACATGAACTTTATCTTGAGCGTCTGTGTGTGTGTGTGTCAGAGTGTGTTTGCGTCGTGACGCTGATCTCAGTGTCATTTTCTGAAGATAATTAGGAAGAAACCGAGTCTGAAGTAAAGGGAGAATCTGGAACACGTGTTTAATGGAAACTCTGAAAATGTAACATCTAGGGTTTAACAAACTGTTGAAATAATCAAAGCAGAGAGAGAGAAAAAAAATGATGTGAAAATCTTCTTGTTTTTAGTTCATTATGTAGCTATAAAGACTGTTCTGCTCTAACTGGTCTGCGGCGTTCTTATTTGCGAAGTTGATTTAACAAGATTGGAAAATTGTTATTGACGACAACATCCCATCACTGATTTAGCGAAGCATAAAAATGTCATTAAGAACTGACAGAACTTGAAAGTTGTGGGCCGTTTAAAAAGGCTTCCAAAAAATGATAGTTTGGCTCAGAGTCGGGGAAGGAAAACGCCGACATCTGCTGAACACTCTGATTTCTTCTCCCCTCGACTCCCAGGTTCTCCTCAGAGATGTGAAGGTGAGAGTTAGTGCAGCGTAAAATAGATTAGTTTCCTTTTTCATCAGAAAGTTGAAACTCTGAAGAAGTGACCGGCACGGCGATGGACTGACGCGCCGCCGAGTGACTCACGTTTACTCACGCACGCCGTGTGATCTCAGCGCTTCAACGAGCGTCTTCTTTGATTTTTCTCGTTAGTCACACGGCGCCCAGTGAAACAGAGACAAACGAAGCTGTCGGACGCGGCAGCACGTGTACTGTACGTCACGTCTGTCGCCTGTCGTTCTCAGGGTGAAGACTAACTCGGACGACACTCTCGGCTGTGTGTGTGTGCGTGTGCGGTCACGCTGTAAGTGACTTTACACCGACTCTTATAATGACATATTCTTCAGCCGCCACCTCGTCGGCTCGGAGCCAGAGGGTTGCTGGGACTAATTTGACAGCTGCCACCGCTCATTATCTGATAAAGGAAGCAGCTCTCGGCCCTGCAGTTTTAACACTGAAGTTATTAGTAATAGTCTTACACAATGGAGGATGTCAGTTTAATATGTTTCACCTGTTTTTGCTTTCAGGATGACTAAGATTAAGTGGCTATCTAGAGGAAGCTTCCTTCCTTTGGTTCAGCCCACCTGCAAAATCACATGATTTCAAAAGTCTTCTACTGAGAAACGTTGCATCATGGGCTGTTTTTTTTTTTTCTGTTTTCCGTTCATTCTGACTCAGACTTTACCATGGACTCATTCAGCACCAAGAGCCTGGCCCTGCAGGCGCAGAAGAAGGTGATGAGCAAGATGGCCACCAAGAGCGTGGCCAACCTGTTCATCGACGACACCAGCAGCGAGGTGCTGGACGAGCTGTACCGCGTCACCAAAGAGTACACCCGGAACCGCAAGGAGGCCCAGAAGGTCATCAAGAACCTGATCAAGATCGTGGTGAAGCTGGGCGTGCTCTACAGGAACAATCAGTTCAGCAGCGAGGAGCTGCTGCTGGTGGAGAACTTCAGGTAAGACGCCGACGTCAGCTCGTTGATTCATTCTTCACGCGGCTGTTGTTGATTGGACGGTTCAAACGGGCCAAAAAGTTTAGAAGGAAGATTAAATTTGTACCAAAAAAAACCAACCCAGTCCTGGTTTAATGGACATACTTTGCTTTGTTTTAATCGTTCATTCTGAACACATCAGTGAGAGGCCGGTGATTTGTGGCTCTGTTCACCTTTGATAATGTCACACAGACTTAAATGATTCCCCGGAAATTGATTCATGAACTGAGTGTTTGAAGACGACCACATCCTGGTACTCCGTGTCTCATCACAGCGTTTCTGTTAAAGCGGCGGCGGCGGCGGCGGGCGGCTCGTCCTCACCCACTGTTCCCACTGCTGTTGAGCTAGGCTCGTTATAAAAACGTGACACGGTGACCCCTCTATGACCCCTGACCTCCGCTCACAGCTCATTCATCATTGTTTACCACGTTGGCGTGTCTAAAATGAAGCCAACTTCAGCGATGTTGTTTATTGGCGAAGCCAGTGGCACGCAGGATGTTGTTTATTGGCGAAGCCAGTGGCGTGTCGCGTCGAGACACTCACGGGCGTTAATTATTTAACGAACAGTGACGCTAACAGGTAGACTATTATCTACACTGATTCTGAAGCGGCGGCGGCGATAATTAAGCAGCGGCGGATCGACCGTCGCCATAGGAGTGGAAACCCTGCCAGATATGTTGTAGCGCTGCAGAGGAAAGACAGAGGCGCCACCGAGGCAGAGAGTCTGGTCCAGACGGACGAACACTTTACAGTTCAGTTTAACAGGTTATTAAAAAATTCAAAAGTTTTTGAACTAGTTTTTTTTACTCTGTCATTATTTTCTAAAAATTTAATCAGCAATAAAAGAGCAACAATAAAAAAAGAAATTCGGCTGAAAAACTGCCGTCAGTGACTGATTAATTCTAGACCAGCGGCAGGTTTTTATTTATGGCACGAAACAGGGAAACACAATGGTCCAAAATTCAAATGGAAAAATGTGTTTCACAGTCGCTGTCGTGTCGATGCCTTTGCATAAGAACAGGAAAATGGAAATGATTTCACGGGAAAAACTGTATCAGAACGTGACGCGGCTCACAGTGACTGGAGCAGTTATGGCAAACAACATGTAAACGACATCATTAATTCACTAAGTCATTAACATTTCATTAAAGTAAAAACCACACTGTTACAGCCTAAAGCGGAGGCTTTTCACCGTCCGCCCAGAACCTGCTGTAACCAACGCCAACAGGACGCTGACACGCACGACTCTCACCCGTCTGTAAACATCCTGTTCATATTTGAATAAGCAAAGTAAAACAAACTTAGATTTAACAACCTTCTCCTTTTTGAGTTCAAACTTCAAACAGCGTCATTTAAAAAAAGGTGTCATTTTAAATGAAGCTGAACTGAGTTCAACAGAAAAGGTGTAATTTTGGAGTCATTTTAAATGAAACTGAACTGAGTTCAACAGTTTTTAAAAACCTGTATTTTTGGGCTCAAACTAAAGGATAACGGTTCCAAAACACAGCCACGCTAACAGTTATCACGCGTGTTAGCAGCTAGCTAACGTGTGTTGTGTAATGGTAAACTTTGTTTGAGAACTGGACTGTCCTTGGAGCACTGCGGCTCCGGAACATTCTTCCGCCTGCTGATGAAAGCAATTGAAGAAAATTGACTTTTACATCAGTTTTATAAATTTCCACTAAAACAGCAAAAAGCAGCCAGTGATTGTATTAGTATGGAGATGAACTGCTGTGAAGGACAATCCTAGAACGCTAACGTGGGGGCGGGAAAAAAAAAAAGAAAAAGAACAGAAAAAAAGAACAGAAATTGGGCAGCTTTTATATTTTTCTGCTCTGTCCTTCTCTTTCGTCATCTCACAGGAAGAAAGTCCACACTCTGGCCATGACGGCGGTCAGTTTCCACCAAATTGAGTTCACCTTCGACCGCCGCGTGATGAGCGCCATCCTAAACGACTGCCGCGAACTGCTGCACCAGGCCATCAGACGCCACCTGACGGCCAAGAGCCACTCCCGGGTCAACCACGTCTTCAATCACTTCGCCGACTCCGACTTCCTGGCCGCTCTGTACGGACCCTCGGAGGTGTACCGCGCCCACCTGCAGCGGATCTGTAACGGTGTCAACAAGATGCTGGACGACGGGAACCTCTGACCTCGGTTTGAGACCCCCGTCAGACACCGTTACCTCCGGTCACCCTCGTGTATCGACCTTTTTACATTTTTTATTTTGAAGGTGACAATCGTCCAGAACATTTTGAATTTTTGTCCTTTTAACGGTTTGCGATTGTGTGTTCTGATTTTCACATTTTATTATAACACTGTGATTCTTCCGGCTAGTTATTCCAAAGACGGCGTCTTCACCAGCCTGAGTGCTAACACAAACCAGCAGTTAGTCTTTTTTTATTTTCCAGTGAATGTAAGGTTTCATCCTCTTCAGTATATTCAGGGGGAGGAGGTCTGACAACTGTGCCGTCGACAGGCTCTTCACAGTTTTTTGGGGTTTTTTTTTTTCTTCATTTCAAGGGCACTACGCCGGCTCTGTTTTTATTCTAAAAGACATGAATCCAGGCTCAGGCCTCCAGCTTCTTCTCAGTCGGGTGCCTTTTTAATGGACCACAAGTTTCCTTAAGTGAAAAGAAAAAAAAAAGCTCTTTTTTTTTTTTCTTCCAGTATCTGAGTCAAAGAGTGTGTTGTGTTTTTAAGTATTTGTAAAAGTAGTATTGCACTCCGCCCTGAAGAAGCGCTGTAACGTGTTCCCCTGCAGCAGTGAAACATGGCTGCAGGTTCGTGAAGGGTCTCGCCATCCTGCACTGAAATCCATTTTGTGAAGAAACTAAGTTTTGAAGGGTCTGGGGGGGGGTAGAAGTCCTCTAAAAATGTTTCCAGTTTAAATTGTCAGTTTTACAACGACCACAACAAGGATGAAGTATTTGGCTGATGATGGAAGACGACGACGATGTCTTCAAGTTCATCGCTCGGCCTCGAGGCGCTAACGTAGCTCTGGCAGCTGCGTTTGACATTTTCAGATTATTCTACGTCACGTTCCCTGCTGGCGCCCTCCTCCGCTGCCCCTGAAAAACCCCACTGCTTTTCTATAAGCAGCATTTAATTGTGAGGGTGTGAGGGGAGGGAGGATCAGAGGATCAGAGGGGAATCACATGGATGGATGTTGACTAATGGAGGATTAATAAGACGGGCATCAACAACAACAACAACAACACCGTTTCTCTGTAAAAGTCCAGACACCTGTTGGACTCTCGCTGTACGTTAGCAGCTTCGTGTTACGTGACGGAGAGGAACGCGATGTGCACGTCCGTTAATCAGGGGCCGTCCCGCGCGGAGAAACGCGAGGACGGCGACAATCATCGCTCCCTGATGTCACGTAATGGCCGCCTGTTTCCCTCCGCTCTGCTGGAGAGCGCTCTGTCGCAGCCGTACTTTGTATTCCACGTTTGTGTGACAGTGTTTGTGTGCATACCTGTGAGAGAATTGGAAATTGAGCCGTGTAATAAGCGCCCGTCTCTCCCTCGATGGCTTCTGCAGGAATTTGGACTTCAGCCACAGCAGGTCTGCCAAAGAAAAGGTGACACGTGTTGTTACCAATGTATTCAGTCGAGAAACACTTGAGGAAAACAGAACGCACTTATGACCCTGCTGATGTCGACCAGTGGAAGCCCAGCGGGCGTCTGCTGTGGCTCTCACTCCGTTATTGTTTTGGTTTTTTTTTTTTCTTTTAATCACCTTTTTAAATTTGCAGCTGACATTCCCGACGACGGGAGTCTGACTGTGTTAGAGGCTCTGATTCATCGGAGGCTTCAAGTTCCGTCAGTTTCCTTAAGTCCCTCCATAAACATTCTTCTCTAATTGTCTCTGAACGTCGACTTTCTTAAATCCTTCCACATCTCAGGGTTAGTTTCAATCTCCCCCCGGTTAAAAACATAAATGATGAATGAAGGTTTGGAAACTTCTGGATCAGCCGTGTCTGTTCCACTCAGCCTCCCTTTTTTCTTTTTTGTTTTATTATAATGTGTAATGTTTTTATTTTCACTTATGTATATAAATATATATATATATATTTCTTTGTTTCTCTGTAATGCACACTTCAAACACAATTTACTTTTTTACAATAAAATTTCTCATTCTGTTTTGTTGTTTTTTTTTTTTCTCGTTCTTAATCTCTGTGTGTCTTTGTCGACTGGTAAATGCTGGAGATTTCAGGCCAGATTAGAAAAATAATCTAGACCAGGGATGACCTGGATTAATTCAAATCCAAATCCCTTCCTCACTCCCCTCCCCCCACCCCCCCCTCTTGTCATTGTTCAATCGACATGAAAGCAACACAAACCCATCTGCCTGACAAACAACCGGAGTGTGGGTCTTTTTTTTTTTTGTTCCCAGTTTCCTGTTTGGGTCAAAGGTGAAACAGGAAACTGGTGCGACAGAAATACTCCTTGCTTCTGTTTTTGGAAGTTTAAACATTCGTCTGAGCTGCAGCTTCAGGTCCACGTGGGCCGTGAGTCACGTGGGCCGTGAGTCACGCTCACCGAGTCTGGGTTCAATCTTTGACTTTGGATTTATAATTCAGCAGCAGCAGCAGCACCGGTGTCCGAGTGCATGTTGAGATAACAGTCGTTATCTCATCAGGTCCTGGGTTTTTTTTTGGTTGTTTTTTTTAAAGGAAGCGCAGCCCGTGTGAGTTATGGCTGCGCTGAGTTCAGAGGAGATAAGGCCCGGCTCCTGCTGCGGTGTTTTCCCTCCGTCTAATTTGACTGTGATGTTAAGTAAAGTTTCTTAATTAAAAAAAAAACACAGCCTGAGATCAACTTTGTCCTGATTTACTCGCTCGTTTTGACTTTGAGGGCAGTTGTAACCGGTATCACGGTGCAGTTAAAATGTTCATTTTTTATTATTTTTAATTGCTTCCCTGTCTGCGTTTTACTCACACACTGGTGCAAAAATTTAAAACAAATTCAAAATGGCCGTCGCGACGTGATTATCATCAGATGTGACTGAGGGCTGTGATACATTTTTGTGAAGCTAGTTGTCGCCGGGGCATAATTATCATTTCTACATAATGAAGTGACTCAGAGGAGCCGTCCTGCATGTTAAGGAGCGCCGAGCTGAGACGATGAAGCAGAGGAGACATCAGTCTCTCCACTCATCCACCCGTCCACAGCAACAGCAAGTCAGATTATTTGGGTTTTTTAATCGAAATAAATAAAATAAATAAATAAAAAAAACTGCACTGGATCCTGACAACAACAAAGGGACGAATCGGTGACAAACAGTTCTGGAACAGCCGTGTTTGAACTAACCGAGGTTCCGGTCAGTTAGCTTTGGCTGTGGTTCAGTGTGGACACAGACAGCCTGGTGTTTGAGCTCTGGGAGGTCAAACAACAATAAAAATAAATAAAAAAATAAAAAACAGACTGTGTTCACAGCAGTGATACCAGCGTCGCTCACACCTTCTCACTGAGTGCATTTTCTTTTAAACTAGTTTCAAGGACGAGAGCAAAAAAAGAATCCTGGGAGTGGATCAAACTCCAGACGCAGCAGTACGGTGGATCAGTGTCTTTTTTTATTAATATTAATGAGCCGACTGGATGTCAGGATCAAACAGGAAATAAAGAAGAGGGGTCTCCACTCTACTTCTCCTCTAAGTCCAAATATCTACTTCTACATATTGAAGATTTGTTTTTTTAAAACGCACTTAAAATGAACAACAGGAAACACTTAGTCCTTATTTTATTTTTCTTATTTTTCTTCTTATTTTTCTTCTTATTTTTCTTCTTATTTTTCTTATTTTTCTTATTATTTTTCTACACCTGCCAAAAACCACAGCAGCCGTAAAGTGAAGCAGCTCAGAGTCAGCTGAAGCAGTGAGTCATGTTTCCTCTTCTGTTCAGTACTTTCATTGTTTGGAAACAGGATTTTGTTTTTGCAATTTGGAATCTGAGTTTTTTTTTTTTTTTTGTCCATTCTTCTTCGTTTCATCAGACTAGAGCTGGTTTTCAAACTTCATGAATGAAAAAATAAATATTATACTGATATTTTTTCAAATAATTATTATTCTTTTTTTTAATGTAGCATATAAGAATATCTGAGCTGGATCATTTTGATTGGCGGCTACTGACGTGAGTACGGGGTCAAAATGGGGTCAGAGGTTGGTTCCCAGTACTGCAGTATCTGCCGTATTAGTTGTACTTCATACGCAGATACCACATGCCATGGTAACTGTTAACAGTAACTGATGACCCTTGACCTCTTTAATGTTCACAGTCCAGTTTCATTGGTCCATTGGTCCACTGAATATTAAAATAGATTAATTAAATGAGCTGCAATGCTGCCATCTAGTGACTTTCACTTTCATGTACAGCCGTTTATCCCCAAAACTATTTTTAGGTCACACGTCATTTATCGAAATCCAGGCATCGCGTTATCGGGTATTCATTATTGGAAGAAAAATATTCAATAATTATGCTAAAATATCAAACATCCCGACTTTTTTTTTAATTATGTATTTATTGGAGGAAAAATATTCAATAATTATAATTACTTTTTTTTTAAATTATGAATCAATGTTTAAGGGACTTTGCGTAACAACACACTTATATTTTTACTGCAATTTTTTTTTTAATTGCGCAAATATTTCCGACCAAATCGTTTGTAAAAAAAAAAAATCAAGAGTGAAAATAATTGAAGCACTGGTCAACTATCCGCCCGCGGACGGATATTTGACCGTCTTTGTCTCCGTCCTTCCGCAGGATAAATGAGTAGAAAATGAAAGAACGTCATTGGCTGAGGTTTCTATGGATCCGTTGGATTTGTTACTCTGTGTTTTTTCACCAGCTCAAAAGATTAATGTGACGACGGCACCAGTCCACACCACTCGTCTGACATTTACTCGTCCTTTTTGCCACTCGCACTCAAATGAGGCTCCATAAAAGTTTTCAAATGAATCCATTAAACTAATCACACGCTGTATCATCGCTCGCCCACTTTTTTTATTATTTATTTTTTTTACCAAATGCCTCAGAGTAGAATTAATAGTCAATAATTTTTACCGTGTAATTTGAACCAGTAAATAAATAAAACACCTGAGGGTTCGAAACAACACACACACACACACACACACATATATAAACTGCTGACTATCAGCAGCACCTTCACTGTTTCCACTCCACGGGGTTTTAAATGTTTCAACAAACTCACGTCTCTCTCTCTCTTTATTTGTTTCCTTTTTTAACTTTATAATTATAATTCACGTCTTAGTTTTATTTTATTGCTCCGGGGCAAAAAAAATAAATAAACAGAAACAAAACCAAAACCAAAAAGCAGCAGCGTTCTAACAGGAAACATCAGAAACACGAGACAGAAACAGACCTGGAGTTGAGGAGCAGAACCACGACGGTGAAGACAGGAACCACAATGACCTGACAGAGAGAGAGGGAGGAGGAGGGGGGGGGGGGCACCAGGTGAGACTGATCAGACTAATGAACCAGAGTTCTTCATCACTGATGAGGGTGAAAGTCCGAGGAGTGACAACTGGACCTGTGGACCTGTGGACCAGTGGACGTCTGTCCTGCTGGATTTTTGTTTTTCATTGTTATTGAGTTTCTCAGATGTGGTTGACTGGAGTCACTCTAGGATTCTTTATTAATGTTCTGTCAAATAAACGTGCATTTAACAACATCAAAAAACACTGTTGTGGTACCATAGTGTAGCCTCGGAAGCAGAGCGTCGCG